AGGCTGGGGCAGTGCCCGGGTGTCCGTGCCGTGTGTTTGGCAGGAATTTTGACTGCGTTCGGGAGTCAGCCTCAGGTTTTCCAGTGCAGTGGATCCCCAGCAACCCCAAAAGATCAGACTGACAAAACACAAAGATATTCTAGGAGAAGTAATTTGGGGGCTGCTAGGCACCAGATCAGTAATTGTTGGGTCAGAACCACCTCGTGTGGTGTTTTGTTTGTGTGTGTGTGTAGGGAAGGGCCGGTCCGGCCCTGCGGGCGCTGCGGTGCCGCCGTGTCCCTCACGGCAGCCCCTGGAGCCCACACGGGGCAGCCCCGGAGCAGCTGCCGCTCAAAGGCAGCGGGAAAACTCCCCCCCCCAGCTCCTGGAGCCCCCCAGCTCCTGGAGCCCCTCAGCAGCCTCAGCCCGGCAGGGACAGCGGGAACACCGCCCCCCGCCCTGCCCTGGAGCCCCGGAGCGGCCGCTGGGTCACGGGGGGCCCGGGGGGTGTCCGCGGGCACCGGAGCGGCTCAAACCGAAGGCATGTGCTCCCCACGCGGTGCCGGCCCTGCCGTCGGGACACGGAGAGCTGCTCTGCCACCAGGTGCCAGGGGAGCTGGATGACCTGTCTGCCCTCCTTCTCCTCCTTCTCTCTTCCTGTGCCTCTGCTTCTCTTTCTCTGCTCTTTTCTTGATGTTTTCGGCAGTTTAAAGCCGGAGGGATTGGATTTGTCTGGGTGTTGTGATCAGTATGTGCTGGGTGGGTTCAGTGGTGGAATGCTTTGTCTGGATTGTGTGGTGCCCTTTGGAACTTTTGTGAAGTTCCCTTATTTTCTCCCCTAAATTATCGGTAAAAGTGCCTCTTGGGAAAAAGAGTGTGGCTTGTCCCGTTGACACTATCTCGACGTATGACAGAACCCTGTATATCTATATTTTAAAGTAAAACTCCTGGCTGAGCCCATGACCCTTGTGGCTCCAGGGCTGAGGTGTTACAAAGGCTTGCTCTTTTTGTTTGCCTTCTGAGCCTTTTTGTGAGAGCCTGCTTCTGTCTTTTCTGTAGCCTTAAAGGCTAGGGCTGCATTTTTATACTTATTGTGACTGGAAAATACTAGAAGGGACAAGAGCTGTGACCAGAATATATCTAGGACGTTGCTCCAGCAAGAGGAACAGTGGAAAGAATTGCTCTGCTCTGTGGCCAGTCGTGTTACCCCAGCTTGCTGCCCCATGGATGACCCACAAATGGATCACTTGGTTGTGTTTTTGTCTTAAATTTCTTTTTAATTATTATTATTTTTTAGTCTGGCCCTGTATCAGTGCTTCTCTCCAGTTTTCACTGACTTAAGCATGTGATAAGCAAAATGAGTATACATTACATGTACAGTTTTTTCTCCCTGTCTTGTCTGCTTTAATTTCTAATTGCTTGGAGATCCTCTCAATATGTTTTATTTTGCTCTATTTATTTTCTACGTTGCCTAGTTCAGTAGGAATGTGATATCACTGAGAACCTCTAGGAACTGCTGTAATATAAATATCAGTAAACAGAAATGTGGGAAAAGAACAAAATGACCTACAAATGGGCCCAGGCTGGAGTTTGAAGCTCATGTGGTTCATGTGGTTTGCTGTCTATGTTCTATGACTATGTTCTTCTGTTGTCCCAGCTCTTGGGTCAGATCTGCTTTAGACTTTTGCATGTGACAAATGGGATTTATTTTTTTTTCCACATACATTTGTAGTGCTCTAGAAAGAACTTGCACAGGCAGTGACACCAACTAAATACTCATTGGCAGAGTTATCTTGCACAAGGAACTGATATGTTATTTTGCTGGTTTAACTTGTTTCTTCTCCTGGAGGATTTACTTCTGTTGTGTTCTTGGCACAGCTTTTTATTCCTGACTCCTCCTAAATGTAGATACTGTTGTCTAACTTTGTGTCAAGGAAGCCAGACCCCAGTTGATTCCAGGTAGTCAAGGGACTGTATTCTTAATTAATGAACTGATGATCTGGTCTCAGCCAGGTTTAAATACTTTGCTATAAGTGGCTTATCAAAGATTAAATAATGGGTAGTAACAGGCTAATGAGTGAAGTCTGCACACCCCTGATCTTTAGTCCACTGTTTCTGTCACTCAGCAACATAGTCTGGCTTAAAAGGATGATAATATTGCTCTGTCTACAGAGCAAACTAATAGAAATGGGGTTTTCAGGCAATATTTTCTAGTATGTCTGTGTACAGAAATCCAGCAGGGAAAACCCTGCCCACATTTACACAGATGCAGCCCCATTTTGCAGTTAACTGACTGCAAAATGCTGTCCTGGGTACACAAATATCTTAGAAAACATGTGTGTTTTATAAGGATCCTACTACTGGTTTTCAGCATGGTTTTATTTAATGAAAGTTACCATGATATATGGTAATTATTTGTGCAGTTAGGAGGCTTTGTTGACGTAAGCATGCAGTCATGAACCCACTTCTAGCACATGGTTTTAATTTCTTCTTTGTTGCTTTCACGATTTGACACTCTCAGCCAAATAAAATATTTTTTGAGAATTGATTAATGAACATTCCCTGATTTATAACAAGGCTGATTTATAGGGCATTAATGAAGAATAACAAAGTTTAGCCTAAGATGACTTAGGCTTTCATTTCTGGTAGCTCACTAATGTGGCAGGTGGTAGAAGATAGCGAAAACATTGTCATGAAAAAGAATTCCAGGTTTGTTCCACAGGAATCCAGGAACGGGAAAACTCTTGCTATGTAAAGTAATCTCTGTGCAGCCCTGTCTTTGAGATGAGAGCAGCAGGTCTGGAGCAATCTGCTATGGAAATAGCAGTTCTCATTCTTTTCATACTATTTCCTACTCCCTTGGCTACTTGGAATTTAATACTCTTTTCTAGCCTAATCATGTGGGTGAGTTGCACAGTGCTTGTGGTGGAAGGGAACTAAACTTGGTGATCTTAAGAGCTGCCAGCTTTGTAAAGCGGCTGTGCGGTGTCTGCACGTGTGCCTTCCCCGAGACGGGGAGAATTGGGCAAAATGAGACACCTCCTGGTCCTCAGAAATTCAATGTACTCTCCATCTGGCCCTGCAGCAGCACAAGTTCTAGGCTAACAGCTCTCTGGCATGCTCCCTCTGGAGACATGACGTTTGTGGAAATGTCATTACACTCCATGAAAGAAACAAGAATTGCAACAGAATGGAGAAGAAACGCCAGCTCGGCTGACACAAATAAGGAAAATGTCCTTCAAGGAGGAATAATAACCATGTGAATGACACATTATATGATAATTCACGCTGTAGTTCTGCTGTTTGAGAATCTCCTTAGCTTAACTGTGTAAAAATGAAATCACGGTGGGTGACAGATTTTGGGGTGGGTTCTACCTGTTTGCTGTGCTCTGGGCTGACAGTGACAGCTCATGTCACCGGAGCCTGTTGCCAGAGGGCAGCAATCCTGTCCCTTCCTCTTGGGTTGGATTCAAACCAGTGACCTGCACCTGCACAGCAGTGCAGGCCGCAGCTGCCTCCTTAGCTGTGCACATTTTCTGTGCTCTGGGGAGTGAGATTATAGTCTCCTGTTTAAACTTCCTCACTTTTGTGGCCTTACTTTGTGCTTCTTGCTTTGGGGCAGAATTCTCAAGCAATTCGTGCTTTGTCTCTTACCACCAGACTGAAAATACCATTAGAGATTTCTGCCGGGGTAGCAGTTCTCTAACTTGCTGTGGTGCTGCTTCTCCCGTTTCAAACCATACAGAGGCAAGACCTGCTTTTATTTATTTTGTACAAAAAAATATATTGTACAAAAAAAATCAGAGTTTCAGCCCTCAGTAGATGTTTTGGACAAGTTTTAGACCAACACTTGCTTTCAGCTGCAGATCAGTTCTCTGCGTTCGCTCAGTTACAGGGACAAAAAGGGATCCAAGTATCCCTCAAGCTGGGGCTCTTCCTCAGTTTTCTCATGGCCATGGGGAAGACCTAGCCATGAGCTGCCTTTTCAGGGCAGCAGGTGGTTTCTCCAAGCAAACCTGGACCTTACACAGTTCACCTGTGGGAACAGGGATTCAGTCTATGGCTCAGTACTCACGTGCCAGTGGAACATCCAGTTCCGTGGTGAAGCGTGTCCTTAACACTGGTTTCCAAGCTTTCCTCTGTTTCTCAGGGGGGATTATTCCAGTAAGACTGCTGGTCTCTCTGCAGTGGCATAACTCTCAGGTGTTGGCCTGGTTCTGTGCCATCAGAAATAGCTTTTCCTCTTGGGTTGCTGTGATTTCTGGCTTTTCCATAGAAACCTTTGGAGGTGGAAAATCACATGCCAGAGAGAAATGGAGAGATGAAAGGGGACACATGTTTGGGTCTTTGCTGGAAAGTTTATATCTAAATAAAGGTGTAAATCAAAGCCACAAAGCCCCTGTGTAGGTTCTGAATGCTTAGAAGGGTTAATAGTGATGTGGGGTGAGGTTGTGTTTAGGGCCTGGATGCTGAAGTGGCTTTGCACTGGAATTCGTTAGACAGCAGCCATGTCTTTCCAGAGCCCTGGTAGCTCAGGGAAGTAACTTAGGTCAGCTGCTGACCCCAGAGCCACAAGAGCTTGTGGTTTCCACAGAAGCAGCTGAGACTCACGGCTGTGTCACCCAGGGTGTGGAGGGACGAGCCGAGTCACAGCACTGCACGTGGGTGCAGCTCCCGTGCTGGTGTCCAAGGGACTTGTGGCGCTGCTTGTTGTGACAAGGATTACAACTGTCAGCACAGCAGAACACCTACTCTTCACCTTAAATTGCAAAACTTTGCTATAAGGGGCTATTGTCCCCTTGCACATGTTGCCTTGCTCTCTCTGGCATTAAACTCTCTGAGCAGCAGTGGAATAATAAACTTCTGTGTGTGTACTCTGCACTAGTCCCTGTTCAAACCTTAAGACGTAGCCTGGAAATAAGCCAAAAAGAAAAATTAGTGGATGTGGGTGATGTTCAGTTTTTTTGTGGTTTGGGTTTTTTTAATTTTTTTTATTTTTTTTTTTTAAATAGCTACCCCAGAGAGCTACTTGCTCAAATTTGGGAATGGTCTCTCCTGTCTGAGTTGGTCTGCTTGGCATAACTGGCATGTGAGTATGTGCTAAGAGAGCTTGTAAACTCTGCAGGGCTAAGAGAAGAATGGAGATACAAGGTGCAAACAGACTTCAGAAATAATGCTTGGGAAAACAGGGTTCAGCTTGACCTACTTCTCATTAGCTTTAGTCATTAAAAGCAAAACAAAAGACTCAATTATTATTTACTTTTCTGGAGCGCTTAAAAAAGCTCCTGAAAGTTTCCATCTGAAATGGAGACCAGGAGAAGACGCCTGAAAACCTGACAGTGTGATACAGAAAGCAAGCATGAGATGATCATTAGTCAGAGCAAGTTAAATAACTTAAAAAAAATAAAGCCATAAAATAAAATTAAGAGATACTGTATAATCAATGTTGCTAATAGTAGTTGCAGTCCATGTTAAGGAGTATCACGTTGAACTTATTTTCGCTTGATGTTCACTAACAGTGGAGCAATAATATACTAAATAGTGATTCTATTATTAAAAAATATTATTTCAGACTTAAAATATCATGTAGTTGACCTCTTAAGGTGTTACCATAGAGCGGTCACTGGAAATTTAGAAATGAAAGCAGTGCCTCTGCTAGCCCAAGGCAGGCTTACCACCTCACTAAAAGTGCAAAAATTTATTGGAAAACTGTAGAAAAGCGTCCAAGTTGCTTATTTAATTTGTTGCACCGAGAAAACCATCGTGGTGACTTTTATACAATGGTATGGGAAAGATTAGAAGTGTGATGGGGACTTTGCTGATGCTGTAATTTTTGAGTGAATGAAGTTGACCTACCAAGGGAGTCAATAACAGCTGAAAAACCTTAAGTAGGTTGTTTTCAGTGCTGCAGGAGTTTACATCTCCCCCAAAGGCAGAGCTGATCCGAGGGATAGTGGAATCTCCAAGAAAGGTCTGAGTCAGCAGGGCTTTGAATGGCTGTTGTATCAGACAGACCCGACCATATGAAAGCACTTAGGCAAATATGCAGTTGTTAGCACATGAAGAGTTTTGATAAGAAAGATAAATTTCTTTCTGTGCTTTGCTGAGGCCTTGTGAGATCCCAAAAACGTGTTTTACTGAAACTGTGTGTTACTTTGGGGTTGGTATTTGAGCTACAGCTCTTGAGCCTTTCCTACCTGAGGGTGTCCCTGGCAAACCTGACTGGTGCAGGGTTGAAAAGGGCATTTCCAGGTATGCCTAAGGCAAGTGCTGGCAGCACATGTCCAGAGAAGGAAGGCAGTAAAGCTGGGGAGCAGAGCTGGACCACAGCCTGTAGTAGTGAACTGGTCTGGACTGGTCTGAATCATCTCCAGCCCAGCCCTGGAACTCGAGCTGCCATGGAGGCAGATGTTGATAAGGAGGAGCAGGCAGCTGAGAGAAACTTCCTCTCCTCTTTCGCAGAGAGTTCAGGATGCCTAGAGGAATTTTTAGGCACTGCTCCTGAGGAGTGATGACAGTATGAGGAGTGTTGAGAATTACAAACATTATTAAAATGGAGATGGAGGAGGAGAGAGAAAGAGGATTGACAAGGAAAGATATGAAAGGAGGAGTTACTAGAAGAGGAAAAAAAGAAGAGATGAAGAGAAATGAATTCACTGATAGACACGCTCCAGGGGCATGCAGTGAGCTGTCCTTCTGCTCTGCATGTTCACGGTGGTGCTGTCCAGCTCAGTGCTGGCCTCTGCCTACCCCCATGTTCCAGCCAGTGCTTACAGCAGCTGTCTCTGTGTGTTTGTATTTTCATACAGCAGTGAAATCCACTTTGTTTTCCTCCCTTTTCCTTCTGAAGCTGGATGCAGATGTGCAGAGCTGGGTGAGAACCAGCTCTCCAAGGTGGACACTGCAGCTCCTTTCAGTGGTCGTGGTGCCATATCCTCAATTGTTAAGGCAGGCTGGGAAGTGCAGACAGGGCAAGTGCCTGACAGTGATCAGGGCAGTCGTGGAGTAGGGACCTCAGCATTCCAAATGCTCTCTGGATGTTGTGGTGTTCTCTTGACACTTGCACAAGCAGGGGATACCTGGCATTCCAGTTGGCTGATGGACAGCTCAGACAACCTGTGTCATAAGTGAAGGTCCTAGGAACAGTCGGTGGTGCGTTGAACAAAAACCTGTTCCTCGAGCTGTGCCCAAGCACTGCACGTTCGTTCCTGCTAAAGCCCAGCTGAGCTGTGACCTTCCAGGTGTCATTGCATGTGTCTCCATCCTTAAGGGACCTCATTTCCCACTCCCAGGGAAATGCTGTCCCATGGCTGTTGGCATGGAGCAATGAAGACATCCGGTGGCTGCTTGGGTTAATGGCAGGTGAGTGAGGGAGCCTCGCGGAGGTTTTATGGAGCCAAGGAGTTTAGGTTTCACTCTGCAGGCACCCACCAGGGCTGGAATCACACACCTCCCACAGACAACACTGGTCTTGCTCCATGGGGACTGAGGTACCAAGCTGCCCCTGTCTCCCTCACTGCTGTATTCCTGAATCTACTCGTATACAAAGGGAGCTGGGGAAGAAATGTCAAGGTTATTATATTTTTAATCCTTTCCCCCATGGCTTTTAAACAACAGCCCATGAGGATTTCTCCTTGAAAGCTGGTAACCAGTGGACCAGATGCTCTGGTCTTTTCCTCTGGGACTCACAGCTCCAAGTGCTACCGGTGACCTTTGAGGACTCTCTAAAAAAAACCAACCCGTGCACTGCTTTCCCAGAGACCGTCACTGTGGAAACTACAGTCTTTCTTTGTGCTTCATTCATTTTCAATTTGGCCAGCCCTGCCACTGATATATGGACAAATGAGGAAGCAGCAGAAGAGAAAAGAATACTTGACAGAGGAGACCAGCAAATAAAAACTGTTATGTTCTGCTGTCAAGCCCAAGTGTGAATGGCGCTGCACCTGGAGAGCACGGACAAAGGGGCTGCATTCATGGCCAGGCCCTCGTTGTGTGGGAAGCCAGCAGACCTAAAGGAGTTGCCGTGTCGAGAGCGTGATTCAGGAGACCTTCCTTGTTTGGGATTAATCATATAAAAGGGAGGAGTGAGTAAAAATATCCTGTTCACGGGAACGTCCTGTCGGCTGGGTCCATGTGTCGGTATGAGCCGAGCAGCGCTGCCGAGGGGGCCGAGACATCTGGGAGATGAATCATCCCCGTCCAGAACTGGAGCAATTAGCTACATTTAGCCCAGCAAAAGGCCTTGAAAGGTGTCTAATTGAGTGGCTCGCAACTGCGCCAGGAAACAATGTGGATCTGACAAGAATCCCACAATTAATTTCTGTATTGACCTAGTGGGACACCATTTGCTAATGTGGGCAGATTATCCTAGATAACTAATTCAATTCTTACAGCAGCCACTGCACACATAAGTGTTTTGTTAACTAGGAGGAAAGTAAAGGAGGTAGTTAATGGCAACTCTTTCTTGCAGCCCATTATTAAATCTGTGACCATTTAAACATAAAACAGGGGGTTTTGGCAAGGTCAAGGCCACACATTTCTTGGGAGCATAAAGTTCAAAACTGTGCCCTGGCAGCCCCAGCGGTTTTGAACCAGTGTTAAACTACTTTAAACAAGCACACATTTACTCGAGGACAAATTTAGGAGCTTAATAAAGGAAGACATGTCAAACACAATTTATAGGTATTAAGAAAATAGAAAACAAATTATGTACTAGGTAGGTGTGCAAACTGAATTTCCCAAGAAAAATAGCAATCATTTCCTTTAGAAATACTACAAGTAAAAGCTTTTGAGCCTGCTTTAAATATTTTTTTAACAATGACAATATTTTTTAAACATCAGTCTTCATTATATGGAATTGCAATGTAAGTATTAAAATTCCTGCTTTTAGTGGGACCAAAAATGTGGTGGCTAGACCTGAGAACTTGTTGGCAGATTATGATTGGCAAGATTAAGCCAGAATTAATTTGTGAAATCCAGAGCTTTGCAATTTATTAGTGATTATCTGTGTGTGTGTGTGCAGTGCTCCCCAAGAGGAACAGCTTTTATATAACAAGCTGAGAAAATAAATAACAGCGTTCTGGGGAGAAAGGTCTAAGTTAATAAGTGGGGAGGCAGAAACAGGTTCTTTTTAATGATGGTGGCTTTTGCTTTTTTTTCCTGGTGGTTGGTTCTATTAGAGGAACTCTGCAGCTTAACTAATCACGTTGGGGCTGTGGCTTTGCTGTCACAACCCTTTTCTGAACAAAAGAAGGTTGTATAAAGTTGGCTGTTATGAAGCAGAGAGTCTTAAAGCTGCTCCTTCACCTGACCAGGTGCAGAGCTGGGTCTGTCTGTCTGCTGAACATCTTTTCACTCAGGTCTGAATCTCCTCCTGCTTTGCTGCAGAAGAGGGTAAGGAAGGAAATGGGAACCCCAGAAATAATTGTATTGGTTGTTTTTAAAGAGAAAAATCCATGTTTGATTTTGACAGGGGTCAGAATCCTCAGGGAGGAAATCAAATTTGGAGCAGCTTCTAAGCAGCAGATCACAGGAATACTGGTTTGGAGTGTTTGCAGAACTTTTGGTCCGAAGTGGCAAGGCCAGTACAGACGGTGGGAAAAGCTGGAATGCTGCTGCATGCACTCACGTTTGCCAAGGAGTCCTGACTCGAGATAAAATCTACTCTGAACTGAACAAATGCTGAATTCTGGTGGCAAGAGCTGCATAAGCAGATAATCTGTAATTTTTTCCTCCAGAAGTTCTTTTAAGGAAATTCAGCTTTCTGACAAAGGAAAGGTTTCCATTAAAAAAAAAAAAAAGTTCATTCACCCTTTTCCTTCCCCCACCCACCCGAAAAAATGAAAGCCTTGGACACTCAAGAACAAACAAACGAGAGCAAGTTCTTGAGTCTTGCATTGCCTTTTATTTATTTGTTTAGCTTTCGTTTTAAAATAAATAGTTTCATCTACCAAGGTCAAAACAACAGAGCTGCTTCAGAGGAGAATAATCCCTTTTCCTGACCCAAGTGACTCCATTATACAGTGGACCAAAACACAGCTCATGTGAGGGACCAGATTGCTTTTATGACATCCTTAATAGAAAAGGAAATCAGGCTGATTCCTGGGACAGTTGGATGAGCCCCAGAGAAGGGGATGGCAGCTCATTCCTGCTGAGGAGTGACTGACAGCAAGAGAGTTTTGGGGCCAGTAGCTGTGTTTTGATATCCTTAATGTGCTGGGGGATTACATATACAACAGTGGTGAAGCTGCCATTGACTCCAAGGAGTTTGTTAGCAGCCACGGGAGAAGAAATTAAGGAGGAAGGAGCCTTAAAATGGTTTGGGTCCACCGAGGAGCTGAGGCCCTTGGCCCCAAAGCCGAATTTCAGCCTCAGATAAGTGTTCTCCTGTAAGGCGCGACGGTAACGTGATGTCAGAAAAGTGTTTGCAGTTCATTTCCACTTATTTATTTTAATTATTAAAGTGGGAGCTGGGAGGTTTTGCTTGCTTGTTTTTTAAGCAAGCAGTTGTAAGCTGAAGTTTAGTGGAGCTAAGTGAGGGCAGCCAACAGAGCAGATGTTACTGCCGGACACAGCAGGGACGGACGTTTCGTTTCATCAGGCTCTGGTAATGCTGTAGGAGAGGGTTGGCAGAAATAGGAAGAATTTCTCTTCTACCTGAGCAGGTTCTGAATTTCTTGAGGAAACAGAACCAGTGCATGCAGTTGGGGAATTTCTGTGTAATACAGTAACAGCTGTAATGTACGGGGTCTGGTGGGTTTTGCTCCGTTAGATTTCAGAAGGATCTTCCCCACGACTGCTGTGGACTCTGGCCATGGTCCCCAGCTCTGTGGTCAGCTGTGCTGAGGACACACAATGAGTAAGAGGAAGAGATTGTGCAACATCTTCTCCATGCTTCTCCCCATGAGGAGAGAGGGGATGTGAGCTTGTTTGACTTGGTTACGCGAGTAACCCGCTTATTTTTGCCGAGAGGACAAAGACTGAGCTTCTCTTGGGCTCGGAAATGTCACAACAGTTCTCCTGGAAACCCTGATGAAAGAATTAATTCATAGGCTCCCAGTTCTTCAAGGCAGCTCTGCTGGGCTGCTCTGGGCTGGGCTGCTCTACAAACCGTGTTTTAATGGATCCAGGAAAACTTTGTTGTCCTTCCTCCTTCCCAGCAGGAGTTATGGGAAAACACTGGAGGACTAGCAGTTCTCATCTACTCACTACTCAAATGTCCTGTCTTAGGTGAGCCAAGGTGAGCTAACAAGCCCCCCACCCGTTTAAATTAAGAATTCCTTTTCTGTATGAGGCAGTAACTCGAGTTACAGCATGAAATACAGCATGAAATAACTCTGCAGGAAGTGTTTAAAAGGAGTTTTCCTGAGGCCTTTGGATTTTTGGAGGAAACATTAGAAAGAAATCAATCTTTTCTTTCACAATGAGATGATGCCTTTCAATAATATCACTAACTAAGCTTGTTTAGATGAAATAGGAAACACAAAATGAAACAATCCCCTTTTGATCATTATTTCAGCAGCTGTGGAAATGACTCTAAAGCTGTGGGTTTGGACCATTGTTGTGTGAACAGGCTTTGTGATTATTTCTGTTTATCCTTCATGTACAGGAAAAAATGTCCAGGAGTGTCCTGGAATGTTCAATGTGTTTTGTAATACTCCTGAACTCTGGGTAATGTGAGACCTCCTTAAAGCAATCTGTGAAATCTTAGCAGAGAAGGGGGAAGAGACCAAAGCTTTCTGTGTGTGAATTATGAGGTGTGTGGATTAGCAATGGGACTATTAATGAGGCTTTACTGTACTACTTCACACAAAGTATTAGTTATTCTGTCAATCTTGCTGCTGTGGGAGGTCACCCAGTCAGATGTGTGAGCAGGCTGGGAAATGGGATGGGTGACTCTTCTGCCACAGGAGTTGAAATTTCCTTAACCTTTGCATTGAATCGCTTGATTCAGGGCATCACTGAATACTTTTGATTTAAAAAAAATAACTTCTATATACTGCTCATCCTCTGTCCCCACAGTAGGCACCTGGATAAAGGTGCTTCAGTGGTGTTGTCATTTTATCTGACAGTTATTGAAACTTGACAAACAGCTTTAAAAAAACAGCCGTGTTGGTTTGTGAGTCCTACATGATGCTCTCTGCTGTGTTCTGAGGGCAAAACTCCTGGAGGTTCTCGATGAATTAATTTAGAAATGCTAGAGCTGAGCTCAGGCTGTCACTCCGTGGGTTTAGGAGACCAACTCAAGCTCCATGGCCCTGGATGCCTTCCTGGTGGTGAATCCCAAGCTATACTCCAGAGGCTGAGCCATTCCCTGTAAGACTCACGTTACCTCTGGCAGCACAAGTCTTGCTCAACCCATAGGTGCAACTTCTCTGACCTATTTTTGAGCCAGTTTAGTGGGAATCTGTATCAAATAACGAGCAGCGATGGCTGTGGGGGGAAACGAAATGATTTGCCTGACAATTGAGTCATCTTTGTTTCATCTTCCCACAGCTATTAATTGGCTGAAATTCCCCGCATCCTTTGTACAGCAGTTGTCCCCCCGCCTCTGCCACTGCTTCCCATATGTTTTACCTCTGGACTGGAAGTCCACTTGTACACAGTTGGATTATTTTTCCTTTTTTTCCCCCCCTCGCTGCCGGGAAAATGATGTTGTTCGTGGAGTTAATTTGTCGTTCCTTTTCACCACATGGAATCATCTACTTCCAGATGTCTCTTTGAGTAGATGTCAGTGATTCAGTCCTGTCTGAAACTGGCATCCCAGTGTTCCACACACAGAAAGGAGCATGTGGTGGAAGGTATCATCATCTGTTCCTAAGACACGAGTAATCTTTCATGTGCTTGGCATTTGTTGTCCTACAATTAGACTCCTTTCCTAAAGATAATAACCTAATTATAGGCTTTGCTTCAGCAGTTTGGTGGAATATCTTAGTGAATCATGGGTGAAAGGGGCAGAGGAAAATTCTGCAGCTTACACAGGCAAGAAGTTGGGATGTGACAGTCAAACACTACTCTTACCTTTTCTCCTCAGTTGTAGTGCTGTCTGTGGGAAAAGATCTTCCAAAGATTAAAAATGCATTTAATGCATCATTTCCCTTCCCTGTTTATACAAATTGCAGTGTGTAATTGCAGAAATATTTGTAACATGTATCTCCTGAAAAGGAGTTGTTTATCTTCTGTCTCTGTGGAGAACTTTTCAATATAAAAAGCAAACATGAATTACCAATTATTTATTTAGAGTTTGCTTTGGGATTTTATCGATAAATCACTGTTCCGATTTGTCACGCAATGGCTGCCAAGCAGCACCGGGGAGGGGGTGGTGGTGTGAGTTCAGGTGCTAAACCTCTCCAGCTGATTCAGAAACCAGACAGTTCTGGGGCCGCACACCTTCAGTTCCTTTTGAATTTTGGATCTTTTGCTTCCCTGGATATGCATTAGCTTTCCAAAACAGGCAGAGAAATGCTGCATTCCGATTTCTGGGCCCAGCTCTGTAGCCAGCACTGTCTTATCTTTGCTCTGGATTGCTCTGAGGTGCCCAGCTTTCACCTGGGAATGCCTCCCTTCAGGGCCTTCCTCCCCAGCCTGCAAAAGCGGGCCAGAGACCTGATTTTTGTCTCTTTAAACTGTCCTGATAGATCTGGGCACTTGTTAACTTAGGCAATAACAAATTGCTTAGATTTAGGCTTCGACTGACAGCTCTTGGCAATTTCTAACCACTCCTACTTGAAAATATCTACATTTTTCCAGCTCTTGTGCCCAGTACACGCTCCAGCCAAGATCCCATTTCTGAGAAGGTATATCCTCCGTGCACTGTGTAATGTAACCTTTATCACTGCAGATAAAACACATTCGGGCTTTGCCTTCTGTTAACACAGTCCTGGGCAGGCCAGATCCTCACCTGATAGAAATTAAAGTAGCTCTGTGCAGCTCCATGGAGAAGTGCCAGCTGACATGGTTAGGTAATATCTGTGCATTATTAATCAGGGCTCAGATAATGTTTGTAGAAATGTCGTTCCCCAGCCAGGAGATAAATAGCTAAATAAGATATAAACCAGTAATGAGTGCAGTAGGCCAGAAATACTGATGTGGAAATGTCTGAGCTGTAATTGTTGGCTGTGAGAGAGCTGGCTTTCCTAGACCAGGTGGTACCTCCAGGCACGGGAGGTTAGAGCTGGGATTTGGGGTCAGCAACCCCTTGCGGGCAGCATCGGGAGGTGAAATCTTAAGGCTTGTCTATGCCTGGAAATTACCCAAAACAGCTATTCCAGAGGATCTGGAATAGCTATTTTGGTGTGTTTCCAAGCACAGGCTGCTTTGAAATGTTAATGCTTGAAGCTGTTTAGCTTTTATTTACAGTAAGAAACAAAAGATAACAGCCCACTAGACACTTGAAGGACTGGGGGGCTGTTTGGAATTAAAAAAAGATGGGGTGGCTTTTCCTTTATTACAACCAGGGACCGAGCACCGCTGGTTTGCACAAAGGACAGCGAGTGTTCTGGTTGTGCTCTGGAAGCTGTCGATGCTGTGTAACAAGGATCATCTGCTCTGAGACAAAGCTCTTCTGCGTGCAGGCCTTTGCAGAAAGAAGGAGGGGAAATTCGGGTTTTGTAGCAGGTAGAACAATTAGTGATGAGGTTGAATAGCATCTAAAAAGAGTCAGGCTGGATAGCAGG